CTAAGACATAACAGTAGCAAAATTATAGTTATGAAGTAGCAATAAAAATAATTTTATGGTTGGGGGTCACCACAATATGAGGAAATATATTAAAGGGTGGCAGCATTAGGAAGGTTGAGAACCAATGAAACCAGAGAAGGAAGCTTATATTTTCTCAAATTAAAGTTGAAGTCAAATAATGTATTCTTGATGAAACTTGTAGTCAGATGAAACTTGTCTTTGAACAGTGTCATTATGGTATGGTAAGATTAACAAATATATCTTAAACTTTTCAATCATCATGTCAGTAAGAACTGGACCCAGGTCTAGAAAAGATAAGAAAGCATTTTGAAAATTGATTTGACCACAGAGACCAAAGGTTAATTCTTCCCTTATTCTTTGAAAATTTTTTCCCAGCCCTGGCCAGTTTGGCTCAGCGGTTAGAGCATTGGCCTGTGGTCTGGAGAGACCCGGGTTCGGTTCCCGCTAAGGGCACGTACCTCGGTTGCAGTTTGTCCCCGGCCCTGGTTGGTCGTGTGGGTGGCAGCCACTCGATGTGCCCCTTCACATCGATGTTTCTCTCTCTCTCTCCCTCCCACTCTATCTGTACAAAAAATGGAAAAATATCCTCGGGTGAGGATAAAAAAAAAAAAAAAAAAAGAAAATTTTTTCCCAGCATTTGTTTCAGTTTCTAAATAATAAAACAAATACAAGGATATTTCTGGGGATTGAAAAAACAAGTGTTGTTATGCTTTTCCTCAGTTCCAAACCTGAGAACTAAAGTAATGACAAATAACAATGCCATTGCTCTGTCCTAGGGCTGATGTACTTCAAATGCTGGACTCCCTCCTCATTAAAGTTCTTTGAAGCATTGCTACTAAGAAAAAATGTCCAAAGAGCTCATGTTATTTATAATGTTTCTCAAAATCCACTGCTGTTTCAGGTTGTGCCTAAGCTAGCAAGTCCATTTTGTTTTACAAGCCACTGGCCTAGCAAAGGGTGAACATAAAAGATATTAGTAAATACAGGTAATAAAAACTTGGTTCCAAACTTCAGTGAATATGAAAAGGAGGCTAGGAATTTTAAAACAATGATAATCTGTATAGAAAGTAATCCCAATACACCAAAGTTGCAGGTTCAAGTCCTCTCTCTCTCTCTCTCTCTCAAAAGAAATTAAAAAAAAAAATTTAAAACAAAAAGCAAAGCCCAAGTCACATTTTGTGAAGATGTTAGGTATGCTTGTTATTTGTCTGAACTTATTAAACCTGCTGGCCACCTTCAGTACTTCTTTGTAGAAGGTAAGAAGTGAGGAAGGAACTGGATCGGAGGATGTTACAAGTAGAAAGGAACAATAATAATAATAATGGTAGAAGTAATAATATTAACCATCTATTTAACACTTCACCGATAGGCCGAAGATTTAGTAAGAATTTTTACATGGAGTATGTCATTTAATTTCCACAATTAACTTTCTGAGTTATTTGGCAGTATAAGCTGCCAGAGAATTATTTTAACTTAGTCTTTATAAAAGGATGAGCTCTCTTTAGTTGAAAAGTCAGATTCCACTCTGCCTCTCTTTAAAAATGCATCTGAATTCATTGAATTACAGGGCTGATAGAAAGCTTCATGATCAACTGAATTCATATAAATTTATGTATTGTTAAGGATGACTTGTAAAGGAATAAAAATATTAATTATTAGTCTAGGTTCCTTAATTTCCCAATGAATAAATTTGAGGCACAGAGATTATGGAGACTTACTAAAATCATGATTGTCAGATACCTCTTCTCCCAGTCTGTTGCCACTAACCCCACATATCATGACCTTACAATGAAGAGAAGGAAGCTACATGCCATTCCTCTCATTTCTAAGAGCCCTCTACAAACATGGTCCCTTACAAACAGAAAAAACTATGTGATAAATTTCCAAATTCTCAGAACAATATTTGATTAGAATGACCTGAAAGATACACAGCACAAATTAATATGAATTCCTAATTTAGTCTTAATTCCAATACTGAATTTTTTTTTTTTAAATAATGAACCAATTTATGCATATTTAATGCCTGACATCTCATAAGAGAAGATGAGTTAAAAAAAAAAAAAAAAAGAAAGAAAGTTGAGCTTAACGAGAGAGAAGAATATGTAAGGCATGGATGATCACTTATAGAAGATGTAGAGGGAATGAAAAAAATGGGAATCAAAGCTTGGTCAAGCCACCTGGAGTTGTTCTTTCTGATCTCATAATTCTGTTGAATTACAGCCTGGCCACAATTACTGCATCAGAATGTTACTGCCTGTCAGTGACATTCTTGTTTCTTGGTAACTAACCCTATGTCTTTATAACTCTTTAAAAACTACAATGATGATTTTCTGTTTCATCAGTATCTCATCAAATTGCTCCCAAGCATGCTCCACCTCTCACCACACAGTTAGCCATTGACTGACAACACAAGATGACAAAGATCACAGTTTTGCTAAAGCATTATAGTTCATTTTGTAAATGATTTATTGTCTTTGCATGATTATCTCTTGTTTTTGTTTTTTGACGGCAGGGGTGGTGGTTCATGGGTGTTAAATGAGAAGTCAAAATAGTAAAATTATTATGAAAGTCTTCACTCTTAAACTAAGAAATATCCTAACTTATTTAAAAATAGCACTTTCTTATCAAAGCCTATGAAAAATTTAGAGACATCAAACAACATAGAGTTATTTATTAACAGGAACAACTATTATGAGAAAAATAATGAATATTAAGGTCAAATTTATCAACAGAATCATAATTTTTATCTGATTTTCTTTCTTCCTTCCATGTTTTAAGAAACTACAAATTTAGAATTTGGCAACAGAATAATTCAAAAATGTTATTCATCTAGGAAAGACTCCATGCCACAACTTTATTGACTATGGTTTCCATTTGGGCCAACTGTGGCCTCCCAAATATCCCATTCTAGTAAATGTAGGTAAATAAGAAGAAATGTAAACATGGGATAACAAGATTGTTATTTTTATTCTAACTAAAAATCCTGCCTATTGCTTTATTTTTAAACTGCCACTAACATGTTTAAAGTATAATTGCATCTTCTCAATGAGCACAGTCTCTTATTATTGGAACTGGCAGAAGGCCTTGACATTTGAGTCATCATTTCATTATGTCTATTTCTTCCCTGGTATACAAATTAAATAGAAATAGCAACCAGATGAAATATAGGGAGGGGAGGGATCTGAAACAGTAACTTAAAATTGAATTAATTTTTCTTAAATCTACCAAAAATAAAAATAAAGCAATTAACATTGCTAATAATATATTTTTCTACAGGCACATTTTCAAAAATATTAAGTTCTATTCTAAAGGCCAAAGATGCTGAAAATCCTCCTAGCCAAATATTTTACTTCTGTAACACAGAACCAACAGCTTTAATATTCCTTATGTTACAAAGATAGGAATAATTCCAGTTTTAACACAACTATAGATATGGACAAAAATAGACATTTAAAACTTACTTCCAATCTGAAAAGTTTCAAAATGGGTAACAATTATTGGGGGTTGGGGGGCATGTATATCCCGTGTAAAAAAATATTTGTTAAAACATCATGTGTAATTAAATAGGAATAATAAAATTCTTTCAGACTAAAATATCCAAATGGTACCAAAATGGAATCTTCAGGCTTTTCCTTGGATGTTTTTAAATCACTGACCTTATATGATGAAAACACTACTGAATGATCTTTCCTTAATCACCTGTTTCTGTTACACTAAATAAATGTGCATCCTTCCATCATTCTCAAATATTTTGTTTAAAATGTTTCCACTGAATTTCAGAATTATAAAAATGGATCAATTATGAAACCAATGCTGATTAAAATCCTCTAAGATGTCTTTGGCTCTGCCTTCAGGAGACTACTTCCTTATTTTATTATTATTATTGCAGGCACTCCAAAATATGTGTACATTATTCATTCACTGAGTTTTTAATTGTTCTGCAACTCTCCCCTCCTTTGGCCCAGAGCAACCTAGTCATTTCTGAAAGTCAACAGCTTTCCCAAAATGCTTGGGAACAGGCCAAATACAACTTTTTTTATCTTGATACAAAATATTGAAAAGAATCTCTATTGAAAACTAAATGTACATTCAAATGTCTACCCTGATAATTACCATTAGTTTTCCTTTTAATCACTGAAAGTATATTACCGAATATAAAATAATCATTCTGATTTTTCTTTACTTTTTACCATTTGTTTTAATGTTGATCTTTTTCTAAAAAATATTTATTTGAGGTAATATATTTGTTTAAACTTAACTATTTTAAGATGTATTTCTGTTGTCTTTTCATCCTTTATTTATAATTTATAATCCAGATGTTCCCAAAAGGGTCTCAAAAAAATAACTCACAATAAAGATTCCTAGTGTTCACTATATTCTCGCAAGGAATAAACGTGTTTTAAAGACATGATTCTTTATTTCAATACTAAAACTTAATTAGAACTCCTGAGATAGTCACTTCATTTCCAACTTGTAGAAAACACATTATTCTGCATATTAAGACAAAACTAGAATGTAAACCAGATGTTCCCAGATTATGAAGTTTAGAACAGAACATAGTCAAAATATAGCTAGCTCCTGACCTATATTTATGTAAGGATAAGGCGAGCAAGTCCCACAGTGTTGAAACCAGTTCTACCATTGCTCTCATAATTTGACTTCAATCAGTGGAAATATTCATGGGTTTACAGTATCAGATTTTTAATGAGTCCTATAATTTTTATAATTACTATGACTAGTATTAATAAATGTCTTCTTTTTATATGCTGAAATAAATTAATGGAAGAGCCGAACACTCTGCAAAATGGCTGGGAACAGGGCCAAATCTTATTACATACATCCAGGGACCAGTAATTTTCTAAATAGCACTTTAAGCTCTCTTGCCTAAATAATTGCAAGTACAGCCAGCATGTAATTTACTGAAATAATTATGCACTCTTCTAGTCCCCATCACCCATCTCAAGTTCATGGCCACTTACCTTGTCTTTATTTTCAGTGCCAGAAGCCTCAAGCTTGGTCCTAATTACAAATGGGGTGGACAGCCGCAACAGAACCCTTTCGAAAGTAGCATCATTAACCTTTGGAGAAACGATCTCGAAGCAGTCCTCAAATTTGAGCACCTTGTGAGTGTCGAATCGGAGCTGCTTCCTCAGGCCTTCCCCTAGCTGGAGGACTGACATGTGGGGGTCAAACATCAGGTGGAAAGGGAAGGCTCTGCAGAAGGTGTTGATGCTAATTCTGAGGTCCTCGGGAATTTGGGAGGTTCCTTGTGGAAGGTTCTTCGTGATATTAATGTTTTCACATTCTTTGATAAGGAAAGTAAGACAGCTACAGTTGCCTGGGTTTGAGCCATCAGAGCACAATTTCTCAATGGCAACCTGTTCCACTTCCACATCCAACCGATAGATCTTCTTTCCTGCAGCCTTAATCATTCCCAGCATCGCAAAGCCCACAACATGGTGAGGATGGAAGTAGTGGAGCATCAGAGTACCTTCAGGGAGCTCTTTGCATAGAAATGATGGTGACTCCAGAGTGGCCTGTTTTCCAAATGAAGTTCTAATGTGTTCCAACAAAGCATCAAAGCCATTAAAAAAGTCTTGTAATGTGCCCCCTACCGCTCGAAGGACTCTCTCGTTCTCATCAAAGCATATATTAAAGAACTCCTCACCAAATCTTTCTTGAATTTCCTCAAACTTCAAACCTAGAGGTAAATGAGAAGCAAATGTTAGTGAAGAATAATATAAACAATTGAATGTAAAGCTTTTTAATATGTATCAAATAAGGTAGCTCGTGAGTGAAACTTGAGAGGGCCACAAATTTCCCAAATAGGTTAATTTATTTGTTTTAAGTGAGAAAAAGTAAATTTCATCCTCTGGATGGTTCTAAAATGTTAATGAGCATAAACTCTTTGTTTGTTTGCTTGCTTGTTTTTAAACAGTCTTTATTTTTTAGAGTAGTTTTAAATTCACAGCAAAATTAAGCAGAAAGTAAAGGTATTTTATATATACCCCATCGCCCTCCACATACAACTCCCCCACCCCCAACATCAACATAGTGCACTATAGCAGTACATTCATTATAATCGATGAACTTACACTGACTCAATATTATCACCCAAAGTCCATAGTTTGCATTAGGGTTCATTCTTGGTATTGTACTCCTTGGGTTTTGACAAATGTATAATGACATGTGCCCACCATTATAGTGTCATCCAGAGTAGTTTCACTGCCCTAAAAACTACCTGTGTTGCGTGTTCATTTCTCCCTTACACAACCCCTGAAGCAATAATTTTTTAAATGCTGCTAATCTAACTTTTCTTTTCAATCCCCTACTCCATTTGCTGTAATTAGCATAAATAATACCTTTTCCTTCATGATTTCCCTCATTGTTAAAGGATCTTTATAGAGGTAACTGTAAGGTTGTATCTATATTATGCCTATCCAATATGACCGTCTTACTTATCAGTATCCATTTAAGTGGGAAATATCAACCAGAAGAGGAATCTATGATATACAAATGAGGAAAGGTGTCAGGTTATCCAAGGTAAACAGAAGGACTTAAGTTAGCAATCTCAGGAGAAGTCCTGTAGGTCAGCTAGAACCCAGGGAGAGACAAAACAAGGAGTCAAAAATGGCAGAACTGTGGAATGTTTTGCATTCTTTCACCTACAAAAGTAAGAACAGCCAAGAGTAAAGTAGGAATCTGAGCAGATAAGAGTTAAAGGTGTTTGTTAAGGTTTCTAAGTTCATACTCCCTGTTAGTTGCTATTGCTAAAAGAACTCTACCTTATAGTAATGTAATTATAATAAAAAAATACATACACACATACATACATGCATTGACACACACAAACACACACAAAAATATACTATGTTGTGATTAGAAAAAGAGACGCATGTGATCAAGTAGATTCACTCTTCAGGACGATCTGAGGAAAAATAAGGAGGGAATTTATGATCCAAATACGAATACATCTAAAATAGTTGAGTCTGTATGCTAAAGAAAGCTTCAATTAGAATCATTTTATTGCTTCTCCTTTGATTTAGGCTGTGTAGGGAAACAGTATTTTGCTACCCCAAAATATGTCTCTATGTCATGAGGTTATTTTAGGCTGATTATTTTTAAGAAACAAAAAACTCTAGAAGGGTTTTTTACACCTCCAACCTCCTTAACTGCATAAAAGAATTTAGATAAATGGTCTGGTCCAAGAAAGCTTTCACTAGAGATAACTACAAAGAATTTGGGTTAGGGGTGATAGGGCTCAGAGATCAAAGTCCTCTCTGTATCCCCTTGTCTCCTCTTAGCCCATTAAACATTTGTGTTTCCATCTCCATGTGAAGTGCCTTCCTCCTCTCTGAAGTACCAGACTCAGACTCCTCTCATTAATTCAGAATGGCATATAAGCTGCAATTGCTGACCATCTGTGGATCCCATGTACGAATGGAGCCCCAGTATCTATGTAATTAAATTGGCCTTTCTTCTGTGAAAATGTCTTATGTCAATTTAATTTTTAGACCAGCCAGAAGAACCTAGAAAACATAGAGGATTTTTTTCCCTCCCCAACAGCTAAAATCAATACATGTAATTTATATATTAATTTTCCCTTGCCTCATCTACTCCATCTTATAAAAAAAGTCCTGAAAAGTAGGCAGGACTGAGAAAAGGCAGAAGGTCACATTAGTGATGTCCTGTTAAGAGTACAGAGCAGTCCAGGCTGTCTATGGCTTGGTTTGCTGTCCCTACCTACTACTCACTAAAGGTTCTCTCCATCTAGTAGTGAGGGAATAAAACAGTCAACAATATTTGTTAACAAATATATATAACAAGTATTTTTTACTATAGAGTTTAAAAACTGTGGTAGCCAAGTTAAGGGACCAGTTTGACAAAGAAGTTCTAAAATCAATGTGACATAGAGGGACCTGGAGAGCATTATGCTAAGTGAAATAAGACAGGCAAGTACCACATGATCTCACTTATCTGTGGAATATAATAAACAAAATAAGCTGATGAACAAAACATACCCAGAGACATAGAAAGGTTCAGACTGATAAACCTTAGAGGAGAGGGACAGGGGGGAGAGATGAAATAAACAAAAGAACTTACATATATGCATGTATGTGAAACCAATGGACATAGACAACAATGCTGGGGGGTGGGGGTCAGGATCACGAGGAGTGTGTCTAGGCAGGGAAAAGGAGAAACATCTGTAACAAAAATAAATTAATATCAATTGCAAAAAAATATGTTTAAAAAAATCAATGTGAGTTCAAATGGAATTCCAAAATGGCGGCAGAGTGAATGGAAGCTACAAAGACCATCTCCCAGGACCAAACTGAAATTACAACTGAAACACAGACAAATCGACAGGAAAAAGCAACAGAAGAGCAGCTTGCAAGGACCATATCACCAGTGACAATGACTTGATCCCAGTAGGATTATGAAGGCGTGAGATGGGGGCTGGGAGCCCACAGTCAGCAGCTCGGCAGCTGCCTTAGCTGTGAGTGGAACCCTCGGGTTTAAAGTCCCAAGCGGCTCCACAGCGCAGAGCTGAGACACAGGCTAAAATAGCCACAGCCACTCACCTTGGGCTCCTGCATAGGGAGGGCAGACTGGAATGCAACTGTGTGGGGACACTCGGGATTGGGAGGGCGCTCAGAGCTTTTGCTCAGTTGCAGCTTCGCAGGATGGTGGCCATATTGCTCCTTCCCAGGGCACTGGGGAGATGCAGCAAGCCCTCCTTCAGAGATTCAACCCCACCCTGTGGGCCATTGAAATGCAAATTGAGGCTCACTAACAACCAGCATCTGCCCCACCCTCGGGAAATCCCCTTACACCTAGCACTTGAGGGAGTTTTTCAAACACTAACAACCCAAAACTCTTCAAGTAACCTGGACTGCTAGCTTCCAGACAAAAAGCTAGAGAATAACAGTACAATTCCTGGGTTAGCAACTCTAACCAGGAAAGTATGACTCGACAGTGGTATTTAACATGGGTCTTCCCTCACTCATCTAAACCCAGGAGAGGGAGCCACAAATAGCAGAACACCAATACCCACAGGGAAAACTTGGCAGGTTCCAAAGCTCACTGTGATAGCCAAAATGGTGAAACACTGAAACAAAAGCCAAATGAAAGAACAAGAGACCTCCACCGAAGATGATATTAATGTGGAGCAGTTAAGCAAGTTAATAGAGCTAGAATTCAGAGCCATGATCTTAAGGAAGCTAAAAAGCATGAGTAAGGACATAGAGATGCTAAAATAAACCAATTGGAAATTAAAAACCACCAAAGAGATCAAGAATGACTTATCAGAAATAAAGAAAACATTGGAAGGTCTAAAGAGCAGAGTAGAAGAAGCTGAGAACCAGATGAGTGAATTAGAAGACAGGGTAGAAAAAAATCAACCAATCAGAAAGCCAAAAGGAGAAAAACATTAAAAAACAGGAAGACAGCTAAAGAGAACTGTAGGACAACTGGAAAGGTAATAATATTCGCATCATAGAAGTCCCGGAAGAAGAAGAAAATGAGCAAGGGTAAGAGAATATATTCAAATTAATAGTGGCAGAAAACTTCCCTAATTTGGTGAAAAAAGAAGGCAATCAAGTTCAAGAAGCACAGAGAGCCCCAAGTAAGAAGAACCCAAATAGGCCCACGCCAAGACACATAGTATTTAAAATGCAAAACTTAAAGACAAAGAGAGAATCCTAAAAGCAGCAAGAGAAAAGCAATAGGTTACCTACAAAGGAAACCCCATAAGGCTCTCAGTTGACTTCTCACAAGAAACACTACAGGCCAGAAGGAAATGGCATGAAGTAATCAAGGTCATGAAGAACAAGGATCTGTATTCCAAGACTACTCTACCCAGCAAGGCTGTCATTCAAAATAGAAGGTCAAATTAAGAGCTTCCCAGACAAAAAAAAAAAAAAGGCTAACAGAACACATTAGCACCAAACCAGCACTGCAAGAAATGATAAAAGGACTGCTGTAATTAGTAGATGAAACAGAAAGAAAAATATAACCAAACTAAACAAAAAATGGCAATAAATAAGTACACATCAATAATCACCTTAAATGTAAGTGGACTGAATGCTCCAATATAAAAACACAGAGTAGCTGACTGGATAAGAAAGCATGACTCATTTATATGTTGTTTACAAGAAACTCATCTCACAACAAAAGAATCACAAAGGTTGAAAGTGAAGGGATGGAAAAAAATTTTCCAACCAATTGGAAAGCAAAAAAAAGCTGGGGTAGCAATACTCATATCTGATAAAATAGATTTCAAAATGCAGACCATAACTAGAGACGAAGAAGGCCGCTACATAATATTGAAAAGATCTATCCAACAGGAAGATATAACCTTGATAAACATATATACACCCAATATAGGAGCACCAACATATATTAAAAGTCTTCTGGAGGACTTCAGAGGAGATACAGACAACAATACAATCATAGCAGGGGACATCAACACCCTGCTAACACCACTAGATAGATCCTCTAGACAAAAAAATTAGCAAGGTAACACAGACTCTAAATGAAGCACTAGACCAAATGGATTTAATAGATATCTCCAGAGAATTACACCCAAAACTACAGAATTCACATTCTTCTCAAGTACACATGGGACATTTTCAAAGATAGACCACATGATAGGACACAAACTAAATCTCTACAACTTCAAGAAGATTGAAATCATATCAA